ATAAAATCTTTTCCTCCAAAATTGGCTAACAGTGCCTCAAACACCCCGACTCAAAACGTAGCGTGCTTCCAACTGCCTCCCAGTCCTTATATCGAGACGGTTAGGCTGAATATGCCGACATTCCCGCCCTTTAATAGAACTCTTGCTCCAATGGAAGCCATGCGTCCCCCACGACCGTTTCACCAATGCATTCCTCATGTTAATGTCCATACTGTGTCAGTTAACTCCTCCGATCCTCAGTTTCTTTCCGACGGGAATATGTTGCAGTATCTGGCCCGTGGATTTCCAGCTGAAAATGAGTTAGTTAACAATCGTTACCAGGTTCCCTGCCTGTCATTTCCTCCCCCAAGTCCTCCTCCTTTTTATCCATGTCAGAATCTTTTTATGCCACAAAATTTTTGCAGAACCGGATGGGTACATCCGGACCGTGTGTTCCATGGGCAGCCAAGCACTGGACGATGTAGCCCACCTCCCTCAGAAACAAACAGCCTTTCCCCTCAAACTTTTTGTTCTAGATACCAGATCCTTGTTAAAAAAGATGTCTTTGCTTCAGACTCTGGTGTTCGTCCATTATCCAGACATTGTTTTAGTAATTGAGACGTGGGCATCAGCCTCCGTAGCTGACCCCGAACTCTCTCTTCTAGGCTATACTTGCATTCGAAATGATTGTCAAGACAGCCGTGGTGGGGGCAGTTGCGTCCACGTTAGGCAAACACTTACATTTCTGCCGCTAGATCTCCCGCGTTTTTCCACAGTAGAAGGCAGCTGCTGGCTCCAGGTTGCACTAAAAAATAAGTTCTCCTTACTCGTTGGCTGCGTCTATCGCCCTCCCAACGCGAACGACAATTTTGATCGTCTACTCTCACAGGCATTTCATGCTGCGATCGACTCAAACTTTAAGTATCAATTGGTTGCGGGTGACTTTAATCTCCCTGAAGTCCGCTGGTCTCCGCCTTCAGGCCCCAGAAGGTTCGAAGACTTTCTTGAGGCTGTGGATGTTGGGATGTGGAATCAGGTTGTCGATTTTCCCACCCGAGGTTCAAGCATACTTGACCTAATTTTCTGTCGAGGCTGCATGCCATCGTCAGTGTCATACCTAGGCCCACTTGGGGACTCAGACCACGACATGGTTGTTTCAACGTTGGAACTGGAGGCTGACAAAACAATGCTCCCAAAGTATAACTTTTTCAGCGATTTCCGATCAACTCGCTCAACCGAATTATTAACACACCTCAATTCCTACGACTGGACTGATTTCTTCCTTAGTTCGGATGTAAATGTTTGCACTGCAAATCTGTACGAAATTTTGGATCCGCTTGTTTCTCGTTTTGTCCCCGTAAGAAAATGATTAATGTCGGGGATGAGGTTTTCCTACCCTTACCCTTTCACCGCAGGTTGAGCAGACTTTCTCGTCGATTCCATCTGCAGAACGATGTTTCTGTCCTGCCATGATTTCTGTTTTCTTTGGGGGGGCTAAGAGATTGTCTGAAGAAAAACAGCTAGCCGAAGAGGTCAAATTCACTGAAAACCGTTCGTTAAATATCTCGAAACCTTTCTCCCGAATAGTACGAACTCACAGAAAGACGCAGCATCCCACCCTCCGAGACGCTCTCGGGAATCCTATAGTTGATGCCGAGTTAACCGCTGATAGCCTCAATGCATTTCTGTCCAAAACGTTTATTGAAGACTAGACCACTCAGCTTCCGACAATCCAGGCGTAGACCGGAACAGTTCTGGAAACTATAACTTTCACTCTGTGGGATGTGACTGTTGCGATTCGGCTTTTTCGTCAATCTTATAGCCCTGGACCCGATGGTCTCCCAGTAAGCATTTTAAAAGCCGATACAACTACGGCTTTCTCATCCCACTTATGTAAGATATTTAATCTCGCTCTTGAAAGTGAGATCCATCCTACATTGTGGAAGGAATCATACATTCTGCCCATTTCCAAGCATGGCCAATCTACATCATTTGATGACTTTCGGCCAATAAACACCCTCCCCGCAGTATCGAAGAACTTAGAGACACTGATCAAAGATAAGATAATGTGTCACTTAACAGAGAATAACCCACTGAGTCTTGCTCAGCATGAATTCCTCAAAGCTCGGTCTTGTGACACCCGTCAGCTCTCTTTCTTTGACTATGTTCTCCAATCTAGGGACAATGGTTTTGCACTTTACACTGTCTATTTCGATTCCACTAAGGCTTTTGATCGTGTTGACCATGCTCTTCTTCTCTTGAAGCTGTCCTCTTTGGGAGTAGGTAAAAAAACTTTTGAATTTTATATCTTCTTACCTGGACGCTTTACGAAGAGAAATAAGTAGATTGAGAAACGACAGATGACATGTTTCACAAGAGCGATCTGGTAAAAAAAACCATGCTGGAAGGGCTAATAACTTGATTGGCTATGCAAAAGTCGGTAATTTTTAAGGCGATAATTTTTTTCAAAGATTTTGGCAAAAGAAGGTGTTTTATGGACACCTCGACAGTTCTGTACATCAGAACGACAGGCAGACTTAAATACTCGAATAATAGTAGAAGTTGTCCAAAAGTCAATAAAGGGGCCATTTATGAGAAATGCTGAAAAGAGTTTGCTAAGCAGAGGAGGAAAATCTCTTATCTGTTTTATAAGAGAGTTTGGGATATTGTCCGTACCTACTGAGTTAGAGTTAGGAAGATGGTTTATCAGTTTTTGAATATTTTCAGGAGAAAAATTAATGATGCCGAGGGAGGCATCTGACAACGGAGGAATTAAAGGCATTGGCGCAGCTTCAATGGTAAAATGTTTGACAAAAAAGACTAACATTTCTGCTTTGCCTGACTCCTCTATAATGATAGTACCGTTGGTACTAAGCAAAGGCGGAATGACTTGGTGGGATATAGCAGATGATATTTGACGTAAGATCTAAGCAACTGATTTAGAAGCATTCACGCCAATAATAACTGAAGACTCTCTACGCCTATCTCGCGCAGGCCACATTTTCGAAGCTAATTCAAATATTTCAGCGATCCTTAGATGAATTGATAATGAGGTCACAGAAGGATCTTTAAACTGTTTATGTAGCTTTTTAAATTTGTTTTTAAGAAATTGTGGGACAGCAGTGGAAGTGGCACTCGATTTAAACGTCTTCCGTAAAATTAGGTCAAGAAAACCTTCTGTTACGCATTCTAATAAATTTTTCGAAAAATTTAGACCATTATTTGAAAAAAATATTGTGCCATTCAAGAACACTTGTAAAATTATTTACTTATTCCTTGATAATATAAGCAAAGTCAAAAATACTACGTTTTGCTGTTGGCTTTACGGAAATGGCAACTGGAAGGCGACAATGAATTAAAGCATGATCACTTGCAAAAAGGTCATGATGGAAATCAATAGATAGAAGGAAGGTGCCATTAGCAAAAATTAAGTCTAATACACTATCGTTTTTGGTCGAAGAGTGGACTAATTGAAACAAGTTTGAGAAGTGAATGGTATCTAGGAGTTTCTGGAATTGCGGAGAGGATGTATGTGTGTGCCAGTCAACTTCTGGCAAAGTAAAATCGCCTACGATCATCTTGACATCGAAAGAAGTCTCTGCAATTTTTTCAAAGAGTTCACAGAGTTGGCTTTCATTTCCTGAATACCAAGGAGGATTATATACATATCCGACTAGGGCTTTCCTATTTTGCGGAAGGATTACCGAAGCGAAACAAAAATTTCCGGAAAATGAGGAAATGTTCAGGTCATAAGGCGACCGTGCAAATGGGGCTCTGATGTAAAGAAGGCAACCACCGCCGCGTCTTTCAATACGATCCTGGCGGTGTAAAATGAGGCTATCTATATTTAGTGCGAGTCCGAAATTAGAGAGTAAGCCCAAGATTTTGTAATACACAAAACATCTGGGTCAAACTCAACGGACACACATATTAGTTGTGACATCATTTGCACGACTGATCTTGCGTTGAAAGAGACAATACTGAGCGTATTCCTAATATGTAAGTTCCGCTCATTGCAACTTATAAAAAAGGGAGAGCTCGTGGTGGAAATTTAAGCTGTTGGGATGAGCGGTTGGTGGAAGACAATATTGATGTGGTCTAAAATTTGCGGTGTAATTACCACTCACTAGAGATGCAACATTGTACGGAAAAACACTTGAGCAGGACCCCGGAAGAGGAATGCTTTTTTGTGGGGTTGAAAAAATAGGAGGCATAAAAGTAGGATTTTGTGAATTTTGAGCATAACATGAGGGGCAGTTTATGTTAGATATCGGGACAAAGGATTTCGAGAAACAGCATACATTAGGAGAAGGCCTTATTACTTGGGGTGTCAGGCTAGCAATGGGATTGTAAAAATTATCAGCAACGCTATATACTTGCATTTTGCAGGCTGGTGTGCAAGTGGGCTTCACAACTGGGGTGTTTACGTTAAGTTGAGAATTCGGGATAGGAACAGGAAAAGACCTCCATGAACTATCATCTGGCTTATTTGACCTAACCGCTAGGTCAGACCTGAGTGGCCAGGCGCGAGAACAGGATAAATTCGACCCAGGTTTATTAACTAATTCATTATTCTGAGTGATGGAGGTCGGTTGAGCTTAATATTCGAGGATAATGAAAAAACGGAGGCCCAATCTGTAAAAGATTTGGGTCTCAGCTATACAAATGCCCTTGATTTATCTCCCAACGTCCAACAAATGTCACCGAAAGCCACTCGCCCGTGTGGATTCCTATGTAAAAATTCCACCTTAAATGCGCTAAGAATACAACTTTTCAAAATGTACGTTTTACCTCTCCTAGATTATTGCTCAATTTTCTTCGGTATAATGTCCTCAGGCGGCCGAAAGGAACTAGAATGCATTCAGAGACGTTTTCCTAGATCTTTGTGCAGTAGTGGTGGCATCCAGGGTTCATACTTATAACTATATCATAGATACGGTCTTCGACCACTCTGGATCACAAGACTCCAAAATGGTCTAAACTTCCTATTCAAGGTCAGGCATGACCGAGATATTCTCAAAATGAAGGTACTAACAAACCAAAACGCCCCCAGAAACCCCAGGGCCGTGCAGCAGCTCTCCAGCGGAAAAGCACCCGGATCAGACGCAATCCCTGCTGAGATCTACAAACACGGAGGTCCCCAACTCATGGATCACCTGACTGCGCTCTTCCAGGAGATGTGGCGTCAAGGTGAAGTCCCGCAAGATTTCAAAGACGCAACAATCGTGCATCTATACAGGCGAAAGGGGAACCGCCAAAGCTGCGACAATCACCGTGGCATCTCCTTGCTGAACATCACCGGGAAGATCTTCGCTCGCATCCTTCTCAACCGCCTCAATAACCATCTGGAACAGGGCCTTCTACCGGAAAGCTAATGCGGCTTCAGCCGTCATCGTGGGACCACGGACATGATCTTCGCCGCCCGTCAACTTCAGGAGAAGTGCCAGGAGATGCGGACCCACCTGTACTCTACCTTCGTGGACCTGACGAAAGCCTTCGACACGGTAAATCGTGAAGGACTGTGGAAGACCATGCAGAAATTCGGCTGTCCGGAGGGATTCACTCAGATAGTGCGTCAGCTGCACGACGGTAAAATAGCACGAGTCACGGACAACGGTGTTGTCTCAGAGGCATTCGCAGTTACTTACGGAGTGAAGCAGGGATGCGTGCTGGCGCCTACCCTCTTCAGTCTTATGTTCTCTACCATGCTGATGGACGCCTACTGCGACGAACGCCCCGGGATCCGCATCGCCTACAGGACGGACGGTCACCTTCTGAATCAACGGCGGATGCACTTCCAATCGCGCGTATCGACGACCACCGTTCACGAACTCCTCTTCGCCGACGACTGCGCCCTGAACACCACCTCGGAAGAGGAGATGCAACGGAGCATGGACCTGTTCTCCGCCGCCTGCGAGAACTTTGCGCTGGTCATTAACACGCAGAAGACGGTGGTGATGCATCAGCCGCCACCCAACTCAGCCACACCCCTCAACGGGCCGCAAATCAGCGTGAACGGAACCCAGCTGCAAGTGGTGGAGAACTTCCCGTACCTGGGCAGTACTCTCTCCCGCAAAACCAAGATCGACGACAAGTCGCCAACAGGATCTCGAAAGCCAGTCAAGCCTTCGGTCGTCTCCGAAGGACAGTTTGGAATCGCCACGGTCTCCAACTGAGCACGAAGCTGAAGATGTACAAGGCCGTCATCCTGCCGACGCTGCTGTACGGAGCGGAGACTTGGACCGTGTACACAAAGTAGGCACGCCGCCTGAACCACTTCCACCTCAGTTGTCTTCGTCGCATCCTGAGGATGAACTGGCAGGATCGAATCCCGACACTGATGTGCTGGAACGGACGAGAATCCTCAGCATCTACACCATGCTGAGACAAGTGTAGCTGCGCTGGAGCGGCCATCTGGTGCGCATGGACGACGAACGACTACCCAAACGACTCTTCTACGGAGACGTCGCGACGGGTTCCCGCCGCCAAGGAGGCCAAATTCGCCGTTACAAGGATACCCTGAAGTTCTCCCTGAAGCGTTTACAAATCAACCCGACCAACTGGGAATATCTCGCACACGATCGACCGACCTGGAGGAGGGCAGTGAAGACAGGCGCTGCGATCTACGAAGCCAACCGCATCGCTGCCGCCAAAGTGAAACGCGAAGCCCGCAAATCCCAACTGCGCCCAGTCCGCAACGCCGCCGCACAACCGCTTCCAACGTGTTCTCTATGTCAACGGACATTCCGGGCTCGAATAGGACTTGTTGGACACCTTCGGATCAACTGCGCCTCTCGGACTGCACCAACCATCGTCCCCCTGCCCGCCTCTTTCTCGTCCTCTCTGCCGCCAACTAACTCTGACCATTCTTCTGTACCACCACTTCCATTCTACTCCTCCTCCTCCTCTGCTACAACGACGGCCGCTCAGGCGACCATTTCGCACATCATCAACCATGGCACAAACTCCGACACCCCCCCACTACCTTCGACTCGAGCGATGAGGATCAGAACTATGCCTGTCCTGACTGCGACCGCACTTTCACCTCACACATCGGTCTGGTCGGTCACTTGCGAATCCATCGCACAGAGACTGACGAACCAGTGCCTGGAGCACCAACCTACACCGACCGCACTCGCCTCCACTGCTCACACAGCCCTCGCACATTCACGTATCGCATGGGTCTATTCGGCCACATGCGCATTCACGAGAGCGGAATTGACCGCAATACCGACTCATCCATCATGCCAAACCCCACGCCCACTTAATCACCCTACGCCCCCACCGCCCTTCCTGCAAATGACACCGACACCACCGAATTCACCTGCCCACACTGCCCACGCACGTTCACCTCTCGAATAGGCCTGGTCGGTCACTTGCGAATTCATCGCACAGATACTGGCGAACCAGTGCCTGGAGCACCAACCTACACCCACCGCACTCGCCTCCACTGCCCACACTGTCCTCGCACCTTAACGCATCGCATGGGTCTATTCGGCCACATGCGCATCCACGACGACCTGCGGTAGACAACCGCCGGTTACACCACACATCCACACACTCCCTACCTTCCTCCACCATCACCAACACACATCAACACTCACCCACCGCAAGCACCCAACTGACACCTTCCACGCAAGTGGAAAGTGGGCATCTCAAATCTGTCCCCATGCGGCTTCGGTTGCAGGGGTGACCTGAGTCCGAAACTATGCCGACATGTCAAGTGTCGTGGATAGGAAGGTTGCTGATTGACGCCCGCTCTCGGTTCACGCAGTTCGTCGCGTTGTGTGTGTGTTGTGTGGAGTGACGGACTGGTGGGCAGGGGACGGGCTGAAGCAGCACCTCCCACGGTCCTCTCACGAAAGTGAGAGACACGCCGTTCAACACCCGTTGTGTGAAATCCTGGTGTTTGTGTGTATGTGGGGCCAGGTCGTGCTCGTGGCGCGCGCAGGCATGGTCAGCCGACCGTGACAGCCACCGCGCCCATTTCCCACTCCAGTCTGCTGACCGGCTCGGACAGCGGCTGGGGTGTGGGAATGGGAAGGGAGAGTGAGGTCAACGACTCAGCGCACTTTACTCACTATAATCAATCTGACGCGCTTGATGCTATCACGGTGCGCTAAAAGCCGTGGTTTGGAAGGTTGCCAACTGACCGGCTGATTTAGACCTCCTCCTTGACTGGAGGCGGTCTGAGAGTCAGGCTGCAATGGCTCCTTTTTAATGTGGCCCTAATGGCACTCCCACCACAGTGTGGGATCCAAGCCAGGCGTTGGCCGCACGCCTAGGTGCGTCTTCGGTCGTGCCAGCCTCCAAATCTGTCTTGTGCTGGTGAAAATCCTGGTCGATTTTGGTGTGGACAAGGGCGTGTGGTGGAACGCCAAGGTGAGGATCCGTTCGAGACATCCACCTGCGGCCTCCCTCGTCTCCGGTCTTCTTGATTCTGTCTTGACACCAGGCTCAGGCGGGGGAGGAGGAGAGAGTGTAGGTAGATGCAGCGCAAGTCTACTGGCACTATAAACCCCTGCGCAAGACAACGTCCCTGATCCCACGGCTGCTGCAGCTGTGGGGCACACGGTGGACATCGTCGAAATCGACGGTCGAACAGTCGGTATGGTGCATTTATTCAAATTAAAGGACAGGAGCCATCTGCGAGACCACTCGTCTGGCCGATAAAGATTTTCTTGGAAGTTGGTCTCATAGGCAGCATTCTGGATGACTTTCAGATTTTTAAGTCATCCGCAAACATGGCCCAATCACAGTCCAACTCCACTATACAATCATTAATAAACAAGAGAAAGAGGTTTGGTCCGAGCACCGAGCCTTGTGGGATTCCATTCTCTGTAAATGTGCCACTTGATTGCTGTTGTTCTACGCAGACAATTTGGGAACGTCTGACGAGGAAATTCTCGATCCATTTGAGAAGTTTGCCGACGATGCCCATGACTCTCAATTTGTACAAGAGACGCTGGTGCGGAACACTGTCGAAGGCTTTCAGGAAATCGATGTAGGCTACATGTACAGCGTGTCTTGCATCAAGTGCTCTTGTCTAGCCTTGGATTGTGTGCAGCAAATTCGTTACCCAAGATCCTCCTCTACGAAAGCCTATTGTGCATTGGACGAGAGTTTGTGGGTTTCCAAATAAGTCATTACCTCCCTTTTGATGATTTTCTTCATGACTTTGCAGCAGACTGATGTCAGACTGACGGGCCTGTAGTTTGTCGCAAGAGCACGAATACCGCTTTTGTATACAGGCGCAATGTGGGCCGTTTTTCAGTCTGTGAGAAGGATTCCAGCGTCAAACGATGCCTGGCACAGAAAGGAGGGTGGTTTGGCCAGCTATTGGGCAAGCTCAAAGAGCAACTTTTCTGGGATCTCGTCCGGACCAGGAGGTTTACATTCCTTCCAAAATCGCTTCTTCTCTAAACACAATATTTTCAATGATCGGATCTCCCATGTTCTCAGAAGCACATGGAATAAATTCTGCTTCTCATGTGAAAACGGTTTGGAAAAACTGAGAAAAATGCTCAGCTTTATTTGCACTGTCCGATATCTCCAAACCGTCATCATTCCTCATGACAAGAATGGAATTCCTTTTGCGGGTCCTCTTCCGAAAATAGCTTTAAAGCCATTTTGGATTTTAAAGAGCTCGGTGGAGCGAATTCCTCTCGATGTCTCGTCATCTCCTAAAAATGAAGGCCTTGGATTGCTGTTTACTAAAGACAACCCAAGCAGCCTTTCCCAAACAACGTGTCCTGTTTCCAACTAGAGCGCGTGGAGGGCAACAGGCCAGCTGTCTGCACCTCGTCTTCACCAAAGATCCTGACATTATAGACGAGATGTACTACCTACCCCCGCTCGGTTGAAGTGATCACGCAGTACTTTTATGAGAGTACGAGCTGTATTCTGAACCGTATACAAAACACGATACGATGCCAGATATATGGAAAGGGGACTTTTGCCGAATGAATGCTGAGGCATCACAAATAGACTGGGATGTTCTCTTCTCCGGAAACGCTAAAGAGGACTGGGATTTGTTCAAGGATCGGTTGCTGCATCTAACGAAGAGCCACTGTCCCTTATCAAAGCCTAGGGCATTCAACCGACCTCAGTGGCTAACACGAAAACTCAAAAAGGGGATCAAAAAAGGAGGGATGTGGAAGACGTTTCGCGAAAACAAGAACAATGCAGCGTTCACAGAGTATAAAGTTCAAAGAAATAAGTTGAAAAGCCCGATTTTCAGGAGACGACGAGACATCGAGAGTAATTTGCTCCACCGACCTGTTTAAAATCCAAAATGGCTTTAAAGCTATTTTCGGAGGAGGACCCGAAAAAGGAATTCCATTCCTGTCATGAGGAATGATGACGGTTCGGAGACATTAGAATGCGTCTTTACAACATGTACGTTAGACCTGGTCTGGAATACGGTTCGCTTTTATTTAGCCTCATGCGTGCTACTGAGCGGAAGAAAATAGAATCCGTTCAACACTTTTTTACCAAGTGAATTTTAACCCCGGAACACCGACATTTTTTCTTACCAAGAACGTTGCCGGCTTACAGGCCTCGTTCCTTTATGGTTCCGTAGATTACAAAAGGGACTATTTTTGCTATATAAACTCTTATATAATCACATATTTAACCCACTCACCTCTTTAAGACACCATGTCCACCCCCGACGTAACAGTCACCGTGAGGTCTTTTTATTTCTTCCTCTGGCACGTACTGTTAAATATCGTCGGTTCTTTTCTGTAAATGGAATTGCTATTTGGAATAAACTACTCATGAGTGTGAAAACTCTGCAAAATTGTCCTTTATTTAAGAGAACTATTACTGGATTTTTGCATTCAGAAAACCTCCCACAAATTCTGGGTGCTGAATCCACTGATCGACTGTACCGTAGCGATGGCGTTTGTGGTCTCTGAACATTATGGCCTGCCTCACCATGGACAATTTCTTCGGCCAACAGCAACAACTGTTCCTCTACGCCTCTACTTTGACTATGCCAAAATTCATAAAAGGAATTGACGTCCGATAATCTCCGATACCGTGCAACCCCGCCACCCTTCTTGACGATCGAATGTATGCCGCCAGCAGTTTTTTTCTCCTGAACCCTCCAAACCATAAAAACCACCATCAAATATATTTTTATTCCATACCTCAGGGGTTTATTTCACTGCTGGTCGGATTTGTGTTTAACGCTTCCCTTGAAAATGCCTATAAACCGGCATTAAATAAAATTATCATATCATCATATAGGACAGTGCAAATAAAGCTGAGCATTTTTCTCAGTTTTTCCAAACCGTTTTCACATGAGAAGCAGAATTTATTCCATGTGCTTCTGAGAACATGGGAGATCCGATCATTGAAAATATTGTGTTTAGAGAAGAAGCGATTTTGGAAGGAATGTAAACCTCCTGGTCCGGACGAGATCCCAGAAAAGTTGCTCTTTGAGCTTGCCCAATAGCTGGCCAAACCACCCTCCTTTCTGTGCCAGGCATCGTTTGACGCTGGAATCCTTCTCACAGACTGAAAAACGGCCCACATTGCGCCTGTATACAAAAGCGGTATTCGTGCTCTTGCGACAAACTACAGGCCCGTCAGTCTGACATCAGTCTGCTGCAAAGTCATGAAGAAAATCATCAAAAGGGAGGTAATGACTTATTTGGAAACCCACAAACTCTCGTCCAATGCACAATAGGCTTTCGTAGAGGAGGATCTTGGGTAACGAATTTGCTGCACACAATCCAAGGCTAGACAAGAGCACTTGATGCAAGACACGCTGTACATGTAGCCTACATCGATTTCCTGAAAGCCTTCGACAGTGTTCCGCACCAGCGTCTCTTGTACAAATTGAGAGTCATGGGCATCGTCGGCAAACTTCTCAAATGGATCGAGAATTTCCTCGTCAGACGTTCCCAAATTGTCTGCGTAGAACAACAGCAATCAAGTGGCACATTTACAGAGAATGGAATCCCACAAGGCTCGGTGCTCGGACCAAACCTCTTTCTCTTGTTTATTAATGATTGTATAGTGGAGTTGGACTGTGATTGGGCCATGTTTGCGGATGACTTAAAAATCTGAAAGTCATCCAGAATGCTGCCTATGAGACCAACTTCCAAGAAAATCTTTATCGGCCAGACGAGTGGTCTCGCAGATGGCTCCTGTCCTTTAATTTGAATAAATGCACCATACTGTGCCTAGCAAATTGACATCGGATCATAATACGCATCAGTTTTATTTAGACGGGATTCCATTTCGAGAAGTAGAAACTCAGAAGGATCTCGGAGTTTGGATTGCAAACACCCTAAAGCCTTCTTCACCATGCTCTAGGGCAGCTACAGCCGCAACTTCAGTGCTGTACGCTGTCAGGTGGCGTTCATTATTTTTGATGAAAAATGCTTCTCCAATTTCTTCGGCACGTTAATACGGCCGCATCTGCAATTTGCAATCTAGGCCTGGAGTCCCTGGACGCAGCTGGAGTGCAATCTACTCGAAAGGATGCAGAGGCTAGCCACGAAACTAGTAGGAACTCAGAGTACACTGCCTTATGATACCCGCGTGAATAAGCTTAAACTTTATTCTCTGAACTAAAGTCAGTTGCGTGCGATTTGATAACATCTTTTCATGCAGTTCGTGGCTTAGATTGCACCCCTGGTGTGACGAATGTTTTCAACTTGCCTGGACAAATAACCTCCGGGGACATCCCTTCAATCTACGTGTTCCCAGAGGAAGATTGGACGTGAAAAGTTATTTTTTCCTCCAATCGTGTCGTAGGACCTTGGAATAATCTGCCCGAGGGAACTGTAATAGCTCCCTCTGTGGGGACATTTATATATCGTTTGGACAGACATCTACTGCATTAGCAAGATGACAACGTGACTTTGTAACCAGAAGAAACCAACGCCCCATGTGAATCGATGTCTGTATTTACTTGTTGCTTGAATCTCTTCATGTTGTTGCAACCTTTAATTATTTTTATTTATAAATAGGGACTTCAAAGGCTTAAGCCTACAAATACACTGACCGATACGCAGACCGTAACGAATGAATGAACTTCGTCGCCGCGATCAAGATTGTCTACGGTCCCACAGCAAAAGTCGTCGTTCGTCTTCTCAGCGCCGACGAAATCATCCTACTTATTGAGAAGACTCAAAGTCGGCAGCAGTGAGCCTAACACCTCGGAGGCATCCTCAACCGTCCTTCCACTATCTCCGACGCCGTCATCCCCCGCCTGCCTCAGGTTGAGATCAAAGTCAACCTGGATCTCGCGCTCTCTATACACGAAACCATCAAGTCCATGCAACAGCTCTCCAGCGATGAGGCGGCCGTATCGTACGCGATCCCCGTTGAGATCTACAAGCACGGTGGCCCAAAACTCGTGGATAATCTATCGCCGCCCATCCAGGTTCCAAGGAGCAGTCCCGCAGGATTTCAAGGACGCCACAGTCGTCCACCTGTACAAGCGGAAAGGAAACCACCGAATCTGCGATAACCACCGAGCCATCTCCTTGCTCAACATCGTCGGGAAAATGTCAGCTTTTAGGTGAGAGTGCGGTAGATGCTGTGAAAATTTTTTATCACCACTAACTAGTTCACGCGCAAGTCATCGTCCCTGTTTCACCTTTCCGTGGAGCACACGATGGACATAGTCGGCAACGACAGTCGAAATATCACGTGCGCGGTTTAGAGCTCGGTTCAGCATGGAGATTTTGCATGATTTCTGAAGGCCGAGAGATTTTCTGTTTGGATACAATTTTTTCGACAGCCATCCATGCGATCAGAAACGAGTGATCTAAAGGGTTCGTCGGGTGTCATGAGATCAAAGATTCGGTTCTTAATGGTGAAGACGAACTCTCGGCACGAGTAAACGGATCATGAACGTTCGCGTTTTTCAGCAGCTTATGAATTCTACGAGATTGAATTTAATTTATAAATCTTCCGAAATAAACAAATCAAACGCAACAATATTTTGCAGGCAGACTTGTATGGAGCATACAACAATTCGGCCCTAATATTAACGTCTCCTTCTACTGTTGAAAACAGATTAAAGAAGCCCATCACCGGCGTGAATTTGGGAAGCGAGTGAGGGTCGAGGTTTGTAATTCTCGTATGGCTACCCTCCGGGACGGGTTATAATCCGCGGTAGAGGAATATTTTGAAGGCCACAGGATCGTTACAACCGAGTATATATTTTCGAAAATCGGAAAATACATCGAATACCGTGAATTATCTAAAAACGTGTCTTCCACACTAAGGTAGGGAATAAAACTTTGGGTGCTTGAAGGAGCCGAAAGCTGAAACCACTGTCAACCGACGCTCCTGCGTATATGCCCTTTTTCGCCAGTATGACACCCTTAACCTCAATTTTGCTTTCTTGATTTTTTGCTAGTAATTACTTATTAGTATCCAGGTCTTTATCGTGCCACCCCGCATTTGTTTCTGTATCTCTTCCTGTCGGTTCTCATCGTTTTTTGTTCATTGTTCTTTGTCCATTGTTTTTTGTCCTTTATTGCCGGTAGCTTTTAAACCGACCACCACAGGGTGGTGCCATTCGCTGACTGCTCGTCTAATCACCTCGAATGTATGTCCACTTTTCAATTTATTCCCCAACTTACTAACTCTATCGTGTTTCGTTAATCTTATTGTTTATTACTACAGAACCACATAGAATATGCGTGGCTCCCACCGTCTTCTGACATAGCCTTTGACGTCGAATGTGTCTATTCTGGTGAATAAACTAGCACTAAATTGAGAAAATCCAAAGAATATTAACAGGTAAGCCCTTAGAAATCCGTGCAACTCTTAAATATGCCAACCTGCACTGAAACAGAGTTTGAAACTAGATGATCACATTTGGCGGGGACCTGGAACTTAGATTGAAATGCCTATAGGGTATGTATTTTCCGTACGTATAAGGACAATATTTATAAAACGGAATTTTAACATACACTCGCTGGCGAAATAGACTTATGCAGAGGACCAAATTCGAACTACCTGTATGTATATGTGAAAAATGACACGTCCACTTTGGAGCATCGCAATCTGAAATACCGCTAGATAGAAAAGGATATTCTTGAGTAGCGAGTACCATCGGAAGGTAAGAATAGGAACGGAAAAGGAGACCACGTACGAGTATTAATGAAACAAACCGTCATTGCACAGATATAGGTATAAAACACTTCCCCGCCAAGAGAAAGGTTAGTTCATCGGAGCCTTGCAGGAGTCAACCATTATTTCTCCGCCAGCTGCGCAACGTAATAACTGAGAGCAGATGAAAAATCGAAACATCAATATCGGCAGTCCGGTACGGGACGTGAGGAAAAGGGGAGGTTGTACGCCATCACTGTTAACCGCCTCCCCACAACGAGTCTGTAACTTCTGTCGCTTTTTACCCAACGTGAACTAAAGCCGCATCATGTTCCGCCGAGCCCTAAACGTCTTCCATCGCCAGATGTCAGCAGCACTAACGCAGCGTTTTAAACCGCTGTAGGTTACTGCTCTACTGGTCTAACGGACATTTCATCACATATTCCTAGTCTTCTGCAGAGTATGCCAGTGTTTGCTAATGTTTCTACTTTTGTAAGTTCTGGCGGAAGGACAACAAGATGTTTAACGGCACGTGCTTCCATAAGGAACCTTACGTTTTAATTGCTAGGTAGGTGACTAGTGCAAGACCGTTTTTTTCTGGGCTGGAATCAGGGAGGGAAATCCAGTATTCTGCTTTTGAAACGCCGCGCCAAGCGCTGGGCGTCCCTTCTCCGACTTAATTTTCTACCACTTTTTTTTCATTCCCGAACAGCCTTCTACAATGCAAAGTCAAACAAAAACTATGTAAAGAATGCGATGTTATTAACCAACCTGTGAATTTTGATAGAATTCTTCGTGGATTAGACGAAATAACTTCGTTCGGTTTTATTTCCTCCTCTGTAAGGATAATTCCCAGTAGTCAAAGTTCCGTGAATGCACCCTGCAAAACAGCCAGCAATGCAGTAATTTTATTCGTGTTTTATTGGCCTGAAGCTTATGCTTACGCCGGTTGTTAGCTATGAATGGGGATATGATTACCACTTGTCAAAACTCGTCTGTAGCCACCCAGGTTCGGGCTACGTTGCCTATTTTCTGAAGGGTGAGACCATACCTTGTAACTACGCTTTTAGCAATCGACTCCCGACCTGTTGTGCGAATTATAAATCGCGAATCGAGGGCAAACTCATTGTTAAAAGATTTTCAGGGTCGCTCACTCACGCTTGATTTTTCTTCTGATACCATTCCTCTTTTGGCGGTGCTAAGTTCGGCTGGGCATCTAAAAATCTGTTCCGTAAGTTTCTTTAAATGAATAAATGTTGCAGGTTAATCATTTATCGAACAATTGCAATTCTCTCCTGCTTTCTCTGCGTCTTACTCCCGAAAATGTTTCCGAAGCCCACGTATCACTGAAATGGGCCCCAGTGTGCGATACACCAGACTCTTTGTGTAAAAATCCCGCCTTGCTGATCTGTGTTTCGGTTAATGAAAAGGTAATCACCTTCCAGTAAAGTGATCTTCACAAAGGTGTTTGTCATTGACTTGAACGACGTGTTTTCCAGATATTTTTCCTCATCAGCTCCCCACAAATTCGAATTCGCTACTATTGAAGAATTCAATCAAGAATATGCATCTGACCACAACAGCGCTGGAAAACCGTGTGCTGAGGTCTTTGGCCAATCCTCAACGGTGTATGCGATGAATTTTTCAGCGGATTGTAAGGTTCTACTAACCGGCGCCCAAGACGGCAAGGTCTGTCTTTATCACACCAAGGACATTCACGCTGCACAAAAGTGAGCATTTTTGCGCCGTTCGCAATTCACGTGCTTCCCCACTTAACCCATTTTCACATGCGAGCTTAGTGCTTGGCCTATTTTGATCTCTTTCCCTCAACGCCAGCCTCCGACGTAGAATTCTCGTTCCACTGCTCGGCCGCATTCGTATCGCCATATAATGCAGGCGAGGTGTTCGGCACATCAGTGGGTCCTGACACATTTTAAGTTCACGCATTCTTTTTGAGGAAATTAATAAACCTAACATATTGTAAACCGCTAGGCTGTTGTCGCAGGTTTTGCTCCTACACGCATCACGGTTCGTGATATCGGACTTTAGAGACCTTCCCCACTACTCGGATGACAGAGGCCGAAGCTAAAGGTTTGGGGATCGCTTCCATGCCATGACGGACTATGTTTAACTAAGTTTTTACGCTCCCAGGTGGATAGTGACGTCGGGTCAAGTGTAACAACAAACTAAATGCGCATGCCCTCGTCTGACCTCCGCCAAGTTGTCCACAATAAATACGCCATTCACATCGTGAACGAAATCGCTGTGCAGAGGACCTAGCAGAAACTTGAGGATTACGTCTACTTTCGTGTCCCCGGATCTTAATACTCGTCTCATTATGGTCAACACTTCGGCCAGATAACTTTTTGCGGTTGTTTCTAGCCGACTGTGTGGTCGTTTTCCGGGGTAGGGCGAGGAAATTCTCACTGTGACACCCGACTCTGTATGTTTTGGCAGACTTGTCAGCTGATCCGGCCATTGCAGTGCCATTGCTTAAATACGCGATTCCGCACAGTTGCCTCGTGGACTAAAGACATCAATCTTGACCAGTTACAAAAGCCTTCACCGACTCGGACTGCAGGACAAGACAGTTTCTGTGTCCAGAGGCTCGACTGCGTACGTTTGTAACTTTACGACGGCAAAGCGTATTTCACATGACATTCTCGATGCATGCGTAAGCAAAATCTCAGATGCGTGTGAAGGAGAACATGACCTGACCAACAGGCGTTGCCTGTTTTGGAACCACGTACAGGTCTATTACCGTGAACCCACTTATCAGATCCCAACCTGACTAGGCTACGCAGTCTGGTAGGCCATGCGACCACCGTTTACATACCGCTGTAGCAAATGTTGATTGCTATGCTGGAACCGGTGTGGATGCCGACAAACTGTTTCAAGTCCGCGAAGGCCATCACCGAGAGCGAAACAAAAGCGGTCAATGAGATGAGTGTTTGACGAGTCGTCCGACCCAGACCGGCCTTTTAAATCATCAATAACAATCAGAAGATCACGACAAGGTAGTCTTCTAACCAGTTCCTACAGCTGCGAATAGAGCGTATCCTTATCCTGCTTGTATGCATATACTGTTAGAGCGTAGACAAAAATAGTGGTGATGTTAGTAATCTGCTGGACACTGGCTATTTCTCACGCTTAATTGGAGCGTGACGAGAAGGCAGCCGCGCGGGTCACCGTGGTAGAGTGAAAGTTGGATATGATTTACAGCATATGGATTTTCCGAGAGCCAGAGTCTGGAGTTCAGGTTTCGTGCAAGCAGCAGGTACATGGGCTTTTTGAGTGAGCAATATACCAGTCGGCCGCTTACGAAGGCTGTTCCGCTGTCTACCACATGTGTTCGAATCGGATGGCTAGTGAGTAGGCCCGTCTTCGTGGAGACAGATCTCTGCAGCGCGAGATACCCAAACGACAGATTAATCCGAAGCATACTGGTGTCGGCAGTAGATGGCGCCATCGATTTCACCGTTAGTAAAGGATCGAATAGTAGAAAGTTGGCAACTTTGTGCGAAAAAAGTGCCGGACTTGGTAGCGTCAGGATGCTCCCATCGAAGCTATTACGGTAAATACTGAATATCCTACCTAGGTGTTCTTTCCCCTTTGTCCCGAAAGGTGAATCTGGTATCTCGCTTGATAACTTTTCGCATTTCTTGTTGACACTGCCTACGTCTCTGCGTATCAGTTCTGCTAGCGTTGCTTTCTTCACACTCGTGTCCTAAGCGCTAGCCAATATTTTCCGAAATTATTAGATTATGGCTTTTTTTCTAGTTTTAGTCCAAGTAAGGAATGGTATCCACACTCCTCGATGCCAATATGTAGTTTGTTCACCGCCTCTTTTGACTGGTAAGTTCATTAAAATGTCTTTTCGTCCTCTCCCAGAATTTCTAAATTAACTAAACTGTCACGAAGCTACCTCATTTTAGGCTCCTAATCTACGATTTACTGGCTCTTGCCTCAGCAAGTTCTGAAAATTACTTGGCGTGATTTTTGGCGCCCAGGCTAAAAATCGCTAGAGGCAATTTCTGCTTGTTCGGTATCCGATTGTTCTCCTGTTGGTTACAACGCCTTTATTAGGTTTATAGTGCTTCCCAGGTATTATATCGAAACGGGATATCTATCTGTGCTCCGATAAGAGGAGACGCCTTCACTAGAACAAGAATTCTACTCACCTCACGTTTCGACCTCACGACCGAACTAACTCTCGGATGGCCTCAGATAAAATTACTGATCGCGCCTCCCCCGACTGCCCTCTAGAAGTCGAATTTCCGCATGTGTTCTGATGTCTCTGGCCATGAAGTCGGCCTATGCATGACTCACCCAATTTCAACACCGGCCAGTTAAGCGAAAATCAGGAGGATGTGCTTGTCTGCTTTCAAGTTTACTATGGTGGCTGTCTGTTTGGCGTATCGTGCATACAGTCAGATATGGCATGCTGAGTGTTCACCAATGAAAGTGTATTTATGGTAAAAAAAGAAGGAAAATAGCGCACACGCTCCTAGTTTTCTTAATGTTTTTTTAGTAATTTCATAGAAGATAGGTTGGCCGGGAATTGCATCGGGTAATTCTTCGTCTGGAACATACGCTTACGTAAGTAGTTCAATTCGATTATATGAGAAAATTCTTTCATTAGGGGGGGGGGAGGGGGAAGATAAATATGCGGTTGGGCTTTTAATGGAATTTTAGATTCCAGAATTTCCAGATTAGGAGAAGCGAGTCGGTTAGGTGTTAAGTAATTCGAAATTAGGGTGGAGTGGCAGAAGAACAAAATGCCAAAATTTACGCCCAAATCATTATGCAGCAGCACAGAATGAGCGTAAGCCAGGGTCCTTGCTTCAGCATTCGATACGTCTCCTTTCTGGTAGCTTGGTGGTCGGGGACGCGAACGCGTGCTCGGAAGGCTTTGGCGATGTCTATTCGAGGTTCAGAGTCAACAAAGTGCCCCAAGATGGATAATGAGAGGTTCCCGACTACACCGTTTTGTTAGCCAATGCGTCCGCTTTCCCCTTATTCTGCCGTAGAGACGGCGCGTCGCATAACCGTTATATCCTACTCCATCAAACAACGGCGTCCTCCACATGACCTGCGAAGTGACCGCAGCATCGCTAGTCGGTTGAATTGAAAATAAACCGTTGGAATACACGGTACTTCTTTCAGAGTATCAATCGGCATCTCCGTCTCGTGTTTCGCTTATTAGGGACGACTGCTGAAGTGTTCATTTATTTCTAACGCCTAGGCATTTGTAAACAGGACGCTATGTCCAGGGCGAACATGATCTCCATTTTACGTTGGGTCCTCTACGGAGTCCACGAAATCAAGGACATGGCGCCGGCCACTGCGATAGCACTAGTCGGCGCATCCAATGGTCCCCTTGTGAAGTTGGCTGGATACGGGAATAAGTACTCCTCGTATTGCAGGTAGTATTGCGCCCAATTCCAAGGAGTACCTATTCTCGTGCTCTGACTTGAACCCTAGCCCCAAATCTAACACTCACGCGGCTCCCAAGTGAAGTTGTTTGTGGTGACGCAGTATTGCACAGCGTCTGTCTCACAAATCTTACACCCACCGTCTCCTGGCGGCAAGACTGAGCTAGGATGAGTGCAGATGCGATTGAGCGCAATGGCTGACGTGGTTTGGGGTTCCGTTTAACTCATGCCACCCGCCTGGTCGGTAGTAGTTAGGAGCTTACGCAGACAGCGCTCCGGAAGCGAAAACCTGTTACGTTCATGAATGGCATCAGTCACCCATGTTTGTACTGCGTAATACTAATCTGCTAAGACCCCATGTCAGGACTTTGCTTTGAAACAACACCAGTGATTATCCCCTTTTTGTCCTCCTCTCATTTCTGTATAAGCCACTCCTGCTGCCTCTTTTGCAGCGCCTCGTCGCCGGACGGTTACCTCATCTCTGGTGCCAGCAATAACAGGGAACTCAAACTGTGGCGTTATCACGATCTGAGCTTGGTGCAGACGATCACATTTTTGCCGCCACCATCTGTGGACGGTGCTGGTGACAGCAGTGATCTGGATACTGCTCAGAGGGCATCTGATGATGGCCAACAGTCGGGCCCACTTGCGCAACCCTCACTTATCGTCAGCTTTGACGACCGATCCAAAGTCCTACTGGCTAGCGATGTAAAACGCACAGTAAGTTTGCAAGCGAGTGCACGCCCGCGCTTGTCCACCTTTTAGATCAAGAATTGCAAGCCTAATGACAAGAGAGCAGGGCTTTTTACTTGCCTGTACTTGGTACAACTAATGTCGTGAATTGCACCTCTTCGCGCGCGAAGGTCTGCGACAGTAGATCTACGGAGTTCACGGGACCGCCGTGTATCAACAAGCTCAACGAAATCCCCGCTCCATATTCCGTGCTGAGGCATAGTCAGGCCAAAGTAATTAACCATTCGAGGAGCGCGCAGGCTGGTGAGCTCGATGGCTGAGCAGTCATCACGCCAGCATCCAACACGGGTGATGAAGTTTCAGCAAGTAACGACATGCATGCCGGCCATCAAGCAATTAGCGCACCAGCGGGCAACAGTCCTCGATGAAAGGAAGAGCGGTTAATTGGCCTAGGTATACAGTAGCATAAAAGACAAGTCAACGAAAACCAGATCAGGTAATTTGCGTTAACAGACAACTATGCGATCGATTTCGATGGCCCTAGACTGAGCCCCACGAACAGACGAGCTTTTCCTGCACCCGAGAGTTTGACCGTCGGTTCCGACGATGCCCGCTCGACGAGACTCGCCCACACATTCAAGTTCGAAGAAACCAAAATACTGCCGAGAGGTGATAATCCTAGGAGCCGCCAGGTTCACGGGACCCCGGTCTATCAACAAGTGCAACGACATCCCTACTCTATATTCGGTGCTGAGGCATAGTCTACTCAGAGTAATTAGCGACTAGGAGAGCGCGCAGGCCGGTGAGCTCGATGGCTGAGCGGTCACCACGCCAGCATCCAACACTGGTGATGAAGTTTCAGCAAGTAACGACTTGCATGCCGGCCATCAAGCAGTTAGCGCACCAGCGGGCAACAGACCTCAATTACCGAAATGATGTGTGCACTTGGGGTATCTCCTTCAGAATGAAGCCTAACATACTCAGCCCGAAAGTTGGTACGGATATTTAAGCTCAAACCTTCCTGCGTCAGCGTAACAGCCACTCAGTATTCATAAGTTGGCAGAAGGCAGTCAGTATTACGGTGACCCATACGACATCTGTGCATTACTGACTGACTTTTGGCAGCTTGTGAGGGTCAAAGATTTCGGCTCAAATATTAGTCTAAAATATCCGACCGAGCTCGCAAAGGTCGGCACCGAGGAGTTACCCCCAGTCAACGCTCTATTTTTTGAGGAGTACTCATGCGTTCCAGAGGACATTTTCTTCGTTTGCCTCTGGTATTTGGAACAGATTTTTCTCACTGAAGTAGCGAAAATGCTATACGAAAACTGCCTAATGTCATCATTGTTTTATACTATCTGTGGTTGCTTGGACAGTACTTGTACCAAACAAGGCTGTCCCAGAATCCATCTAGTTTTGAATCACTCTTTTGCTGTTATTCAGTCTATTTCTAAGCTTACTTCTCTGTGATAATGATGCAAAAATATAACGGACGTTTACTACAACAAATCAGACTATTTTTCAGCTATCTTTGAATTCTTAGATCTACTTTAAGGCTCACCGATGCAGACTGACTGCAAGGTGGACTACGGCGTGTGGTTTAATCTTGGGACTTGGCGAGGGCGAAATTCTCGCAAGAGGTGATAATCGTGTGGGTCGCGAGTTGCTTAAGTCATGGTTCACGGGACTCCGGTCTATCAACAAGTGCAACGACATCCCTACTCTGTATTCGGTGCTAAGGCATAGTCTGCCCGAAGTAATTAGCGACTAGAGGAGCGCTCAGGCCGATGAGCCAGGTGACTGAACAATCATTACGCCAGCACCCAACACGGGTGATGAGATTTCAGTAATTAACAACTTGCATGCTGGCCATCAAGCAATTAGCGCATCAGCGGCAACAATCTCGGTGACGGGCAGAGCGATAAATTATCACAAGTACGCAGTAGCATAGCGACTGCATCCTATAAATACCGCAACTTCCTATACGCGAATCACCCGTTTCTCTCACTGTCTCTGATGATGGGTCCGAGCGAGAATCCGAAACGTCACGCGAATAAAGTTCTTGTGTCAGCGATAGCTTCTACTTGTGTCAGCGATAGCTTCTACTTTTTATCAGATATACGGAGCTCTATCCACGCAATCCTCCAGCGGTGGAGACCTAATACAGGAAATCCAAAAACACTCCCACATCCTCGAAAATTGTATCGAGTTAGATTTGAGTTGGCTTCCTTTTCGACCCCTTCAGGTGGCCAGCGGCACCGGATGGCGGACAGCCACACTAAGCCCATGAGGCTAACAATACAGAACGTGCTCAAACCCACCTCGCACACCTTTCTAGGATGGCCTAAGACATCCCTGCGATTCTGTCAGAGCGAACCGTACCCTTTTAGCGTTCAGCACATTTGGAAGTTGTTGTTACTGTTTCCGTCCATATGATTGTTGTTAGTGGGCAGTCAGATATTACTGCGCGTGCTCCGAGCCCACTTGGACATGGATCAGTAGACACATGTCTAGAAGTGGAGTTCTAGTAGGCGACCAGATGATTAAATGGTAGGCAAGCCGGCGTGGTCTGATTCTATAGACCATCTAGGGCCAATGTCACTGTCCATTTAGTAGTTCCGGTTGGAAATTCGCGGATGCGAAGGTGAGAGTTCACTCGCGGAGCGCTACAATGATCAGGCCAAATCCCGAGTTGTAAGGAGAAGACAGGAAGCACCAGAATGAGGGGTTTAATGGGTACAGAACCCGGATTTGTCCTCCCAGGTGGCAGTGGCCTCTGGCGAAGTCAGGGCTGGTGTTGACTGCGTCCAGTCCTGCCTGAGGGTCTCTGGGATAGTAGTGGCAGCCGCTTTCATAGGCTCGTGGGCCAAACTCGAGTGGTCTCCAATCGGTGTGTGTTGCATTTGCCGAAGGGCGGTGTCCCAGTGGCTTAGGTTCTGGTTGCAGGTGGAGGGGGGAGGGATGGAGGTACGTCCAAGTGACCGCATAGGTAGCTGCGACTGTGTAGACGCAGGTATGTCCGAGCTGAAGTCGGTCGAGTGGCTTCAGGTCAGCGTGTCTGGAACGGCCCGCTGCAAGGCATGAATGACCTTGAGACAGCGGGGCCCCGAACAATGACGACAGACTGGCC